GTTATACGATAAGAATGAATCTGACAGACCCACAGAGCATGATTCGGAAAACTGCAACTGGTGTACCGCAATCAGAGGCTTGCATCGTTTGATAGGATCCACATCAGAAGCACATCATGGATTTTCTGTCCAGCTATCCAGGCTAATCAAGTGTCCTAGGTAAGGAGCAGGCTTAGAGATTCACCGCAACCCTGGTGCTGGTGCCTTGTCGTGGCGGGATGGCTTGAGTACCCTAATGACTCTCAGAGCTATGCCGGCAGGGGACTTGTTTCCCTGGCAGGTTTGACCATGCCGAACAGATCTTGAAACGAAGAGTCAGACCACACTAGCACCCTGGTCCTTCAGGTTGGGGATTCGGCAAGGGGTTGACAACACATTACCGTAAAAAAATACAGGTGAAAACATCGAACCAGTGGAAAGAAGTGAAGCTTGCCAGATACTTGGTGTAATCACGGCTGGGGATCAAAGCCGAAAGGAAGTCAACAGCCCGACAGTGAATTTTCTTTCCCCCAAAACCCACCCTAAGAGTTGGATGTTGGAATGTGAGAGCATTGTATCTAACTGGAAAAGAAAAACAAGTTCTTTATAAGATGCATCTACACATTTTAGGAATTACAGAAGCACGCTGGACAGGGACAGGAAAAAGAAACCTCAATACAGACGACAGCATAATCTGGTCAGGTAGAGCTGATGAACAACATAATCGGGTCAGGTAGAGCTGATGAACAACATAATCTGGTCAGGTAGAGCTGATGAACAACATACTGAAGTAGTCGCATTAATAATTAAAATGGGGCTCTTATAGAATGGAAGCCTGTAAGTGAACGACTTTTGTATGCAATGTTCAGTTCTAGATTTGCAAATTTATCTGTCTTGGTCTGTTAGGCACCAACAGAGGATGCAGACGAGGAGACAAAAGACAGCTTTTAAGACAGTCTGCAAACAGTAGTAGAAGACATCCCAAAGCGTGATGTGCTATCAATCCTAGGAGGCTTTAATGCTCAGGTAGGAAAGGACAACGCAGGGAGAAAGAGCACAATGAAAAAAACATGGAACAGGGAAAATGACTTACAACGGAGAGAGATTATGTGACTTGAGCTAATCTAATGACCTAATAATTGGAGGAACACTCTTACCTCATAAAACGATTCATAGGGTCACATGGAGATCTCCATATGGACATACGAAAAACCGAATTGACAATATATTCTTATAAATGGTAAATGCAGGAATTCGCTGCAAGACGTCAGTGTACGTAGATCAGCGGATATAGAGAGTGACTATAATTTACTTTTTGTAAAAATCAGGTTAAAACTAAGGAAAGCCAAAATAAGAGAACAAAAACCGCTGCGATATGATGTAGGAAAATTGCAGGACATACATATCAAACAGCATTTCAAGATAGAACTCAAAAACAGATTCAGCATTTTACATGAAGAAACAGAAATGGTAATCGACAAATTTAATGAAGCAGCAGTCAAATTATCAGAGGAGAAAATATTAGAATATACTCGGTCCCGAAAAAAAAAGAGGAGTGGATTTCTCAAACGACGAGGAAGAAAAAAAGCACAAAGAAAAGATATTAAAAGACAAATGTTAGATGGAAAATCAGCCGTACTGAAAGGAATTTTTTTTCTAAAGAATATGCACTAAAGAACAATGAGGTTAAAGCAGAAGCAAACGCAGATAAACTTTAGTATATTTAAAAACAAGTAACAAAAGCTGAAAAAGCAGCAAATAAACAGGGCATCAAAACATTGTACAACATAATTAAGAAACAGAAAGGAAATGTGGTGTCGCAAAAAGAATTTACCTCAAAAAAAAAAAAAAGAAAGAGTGGGAACATGATTACAGCCGAGAAAGAAAAATCAGAAAGGTGGAAAGAACACTTCCATGAATTACTAAACTGTCCAGACCCACCTGTACTTGCTGATATACCTGAGGCACAGGAAGACCTACAGATAAGCCTAAAGCCTTTCTCAGAGACAGAGGTTAGGTGGCGACTAAAGCTCAAAAGGTTAACAGAGCACCTGGTGCATGTTTTAGATTAGTATCAAATGGGAACCCTAGGAATAATCAAAACTATACCCCCCCCCCCCCACCTCCCAAAAAAAAATCCGTCACTTTGCTACCACAGCTATCATAATACATCAGACGGTACGTTTATTATGTACCTGTTCCAACGATTTTACAGGCTGTTGATGAGTTGACAGAATTGTGAATTTATTTTAGTTTGTTTTATCTACAGAGACACTAGGCAGCTGGTCGCAATGCCCATCAGCGGAAATGAAACACTCGCCTAACAACTCAGAAATCTTGGAATGGCCAACTTGGATTTAAGTCTATGGTTTTCTATATTTAGTTATGTTAGTTGACTTCCCAATGTGTTAGGTAATTCAAGTTCTACCAAATCCGTATATCCTTACAGTTAACTCCCAGTCATACCCATTCACGGAGAATCCAGTACATTGCAGAATATTATCACTCCTAATTGTGCTGGCCATTTCCTGACCACCCAGCTACATAAAAGTCTTATTGGGTATTCCTCCATAATGCATGACAACAAATAGCTTCTTCTTGGAAATGATTTGAACTAGCAGCTGTTCCATCTGTAAAGTTTCGACTGGCACCTTTGATATTGGAACTCTACGATGACTGCTGAGGATAAGAACGAAGCGGTTATAGGAATGTTCCAAGTGCTGTGAAGTCGGTTCTTGAGTCAAAACAAATCAATCAGTCATCTTTAAAATGTGTATTTCATGACTGGTCAACTTTTGTGGCTATGGTTTGCTACCGGGTCAGACAACCTATCTCCGTAGTCACATCTTAGGAGATTCATTGCTATTTACATTATTACTATTATTTACTTCCTCTTTACTTCCCAAAGCGAAGGCGAATGGACGTCGCTTGGTGCAATAAAGCCTGGAATATGATTTCACAAGGTCTAGTTTGAGAATTGAGGTGGAGCCAGTTACTGCTGACTTCCACTGGCTTGAGAATCAGCTGTAAACACATAACATCATTTTAACTGACTCACAGAGCACGCTGAGAAATGTGGAGACGCATGCTCCGTGCACAGTAGCAAGCTTCACTTTAAAGATCCCTGGTAGTTAGCAGGATATATTCTCCAGGGAATGTCGGTGTGTTGAGAAATGAGCAGGCAGATAGACTGGTCGGTTCTGCACAACTTAGTGGTGAACTGATGTATGACAAGCTGGCTCTTGTAAGGGCCCTTTTGGAGCGAGTGAACAGTACCGAGAAACAGATAGATCAATACGGTCTGAGGAAAATGGCTCTGCGATTAGTTACAATAGGATCTGACCGACGCTCAACACTCAGGGGTAAGACGGAACGGATATAAACTCAGACAGTTACTGGTACAATGAAAATTTTAACTCTTCCCTTGCTGCTAAAGATGGAGACGGAGCGCTTATGGGAGTATCTCGAGTGCTGTGATGTCGATTTTAAATTCAACATTCAACAACAACATTCAACATTTACTTCCTCTGTGAGCCCTAGTGTCATTGGGCCTGGTGCTGTTTTGGTATAACATCATAACAAGTTAACTTAACACCGAAATGTTTATGACACATTTTAATCATGTTACTTGACAACAGTGAACACAACAGGTTACAAGTTAAAGATACATATAATGTTGACAATGTTTTCCTTCTATTTCCTCATAAAAGACAACTATTACTTGTTAACGTAATTTAGTACTGAACAAGCAGGCAATACTGGTTGTGAAGATAGAGTATATTCGTCAGTCATCCTATAACTGAAACTAATGCGTGCATGCATACACACTTAAAATAATAATAGATTATGTGTCATCACCATCACAACTATCATCATCATCACATGGCAAAATGAGAGCCGTCAAAAAATGCCAACTAGTATTTCGGCCCTGACATATCCCACGTCTTGTGCCTTGCGTACAGCACATGATTATGATACATATTTTTCTCGTGTGTATTCGTAAGACTGTCTTAACTGTTCGTGGACTCCATACTTTTCTTCCGCTCCCACTTTTTTAGTTGCCACAATGTATTTTTGTTAATCTCGTTCCCGTCGTGTACCCAAGTTGGTAGGCTTCTTCTAATAGGGAAACCAGTTCTATTTATGATTTTTTCCTCCTCAAGACAACTCTTTAAAGCTGTTTATCTGTTGATTTCTTTTCTCAAGAAAACTCTTTAAAGCTTTTTTGTTAAATCTTTTAATGACGAATATGTATACAAATCGAACTTGTCTGCAAAGAATCACAAACTTGGCACGCAGTCCCACGTCTTTTTTGTCTCTTTTAAACATTTATTTTTCACCCGAAAATTGTATTTTGTATATCAAGAATATTATGTTCAAATTAAAAAATCCATGGTAAAAATGTAAAATATAAATTCAAAACTATGGATGGAAATAAGCATACTGTCTACAGCATTTAAAAAAAAAAACCACACACACAATACATACACACTTGAGAGAGAAAAACAAACAAGTTACAAACAGATACAAACACATACACATACAAAACATACTTACATTCAGTCAGAGGCACACACTGGCCACACACACATTAACACAACATAAACAAAAAGAGACACAAATCTTACACAGACACAAGAATATACACAATACACAACAAAATAATCGTATTTTGTATACCTTTATACCGACCAATATCAGCGGACAGCTCTGCCGAAATATATCTTTTTGGAAGACAATTAAAATGTACTCGTCTCCACAATGGAGACTGAATATAGGGATCTCACTGATGTCCTTGAAAAAACAAAACCTAATTCAGTGGCTTCAAAGTCTTTCATCAAGTACATCAAATGGAACTTTTTGAAAGACTAGAAAATGTTATTCTTCGAAAAGAGCCAATTAAACCCCTTAAAACGAGTGCCGATGATTGGATTGTGAAATTTTTAAGCTACCGAGCAGCCTCAATCTGCATCAGCAGCATCAACAATAAATATGACACAACAACGCGTTGCCGGGTACAGCTAGTCAACAATAAATATGACACACAAGATGTTTTCCAGACTTCCAAACTTCCTGGCGTAGCCCTGGTTACAGACACACAACTGCTGAAACTTGCCAGAATCTTTAGGAGTGGGGATTTCTTGTTGTCCTAGGCGACGATTATGGGCAACAGGACCCTCAATATACTTCACATCCTCTAGTATACGTGTGATAACTGGAGATCTTTTCCCGTGCCTGAAGTGAGAAACTATACACTCCCAAAACTTCCTATTTGTATCATTGTCGACTTTCAGCAGCAAGTGTGTCTCATTTTGCCGTAAATTACTGTCAATTTTGAAAACTACAACAGCCGGTTTACGACAATGAAAGCGCTGTTTTCTTTTACTCCATTGACAGGCTTTTTCATAATCGTCAGTGACATAAAATCCTTTGCCAGCTGAGAAATCAACATGCCTCGTTGATTCAGTCAAATCGATACCTTGTTCGATTATACTTTTTGCAGATTCAGCAGTAGTACCGTGGTAAAACACATCTTTTCCACGTAAGGATGTTTTGAACTCTTTTAAAATACAATCTTCCTTGACATATGTATCAGTATTGTATACATAAATTGTGTGCTCGTTAGAGCTGCCTTCTGGTTCGGCTCCAGGATACCTCCTAATGCTTACCCAATACCAGCGATTATTGAAACGCTGAAAATTGTTTGTGTAAGGCATCCGATCTCTAGATGGCAGTTCGTCTTCACTGAAATTCACAAAAAAAACAGATAATATTACCAGTATAAGGAAAATTTAAAAAAAATATATTTAATTGTAGAATGCTTGGTTTACTTCAGTAAAATCATGCTTCTTGCAGTCCTGTTTTACGTAGCGTTTTCACATTTCAGAATTAGTTAATTTTCTGTTAATGTAATGTCATTATTTATAGTAATACGAACATATTTGGTAATGACCAAAGATTAGTTCAGTCGATAAATGAAAACAAGAGAAAACCAGAGTCCTCAGGAAACGTATAATGACACCAAAAAGTATTGTGAACAATGAGAACCACTAGCATAAATTATTGCAGGTCACACATCATATTGTGTTTTTGAATGTACACTGATGAATTTGTTTACGTAGAACAAATATTATATTTAATATATATACATTTGTTAACATATCTCATTTATTTAAAAAAAAAAAAGGAATCTGATATTTTTCATGTGAACTTATTGTCTGAATACTTAATCTGAGACCTAAAGCTTCTACCCAAAATCTGTCAAATTAGTCTGTCGAACAGATAACACTAGTTTGTTTCGATTTTCAGAGAAAGAAGCTGCCTTTTTTATTTTTTTTTTTGTTGTTTGTTGTTGGAGACGATAGAAGAAGTGGAATCCTAATCGTGAAATACCTATATTCCTGTTACCATCGTGCAAGAAGCGAACATCAGAAACAACGTAAGACAGCAATGAACGTCTGAGATATCTTGAAGAAAAACAGGTGACACTGACATCCATTTAGAAGAAGTTCCGAGCAGCAATCAATTCAGAGGTCTACGTAAACATTAAGATGATTAGAAGAAACTGTATAGAGAAACATTTATAGAAATTTAATATTTTGAAACCTAAATTCATAACTGAAACATTATATTTTTACTATTGTTAGAAATAAACCAAATTTATGATTTACATGCTTTGTTACAATAACTAAAGAAAACATCAAATAAATGTTTCCATGAATATTTCCAAACGCTTGAGAAATTAATATCGTTTTGTTACCATGTGTCTTTATGATAGAATAAAACCAAATTATTAGTGATTAATAGGGCAGTCTGGTTAGAAAGTTAAAAATACAGGTACTGTTTTGTTTTTAATGAATGACCAACTAAATATCAAAATATCTTCTTGAAATTCGGTGAGCATGTGCTTGATACATGACTGTTCACTAATGTGTTTTTTTATTTTTTTGCAAACGTGTTCAAACTTGCTAAATTTTTTATAATTGAAAATATTGTGAAAGTTAATTTAAAAAATTTTTATACAAATCTTGTATGAACTAACCTTAAAAAAGTCCTGAATTTTGGAGCCATAGCAGTACATTGTTACAGTCAAATGCTCTACCTCTAGTTTGTCTGTACTAATCATATTTTTGAAGTTATGAAGTTTTTAATTTGGGGCTAAAATGACTAGCAAATTATGAAATTAAAATATGTATAACTCAACGTACATTTGATATTTCTCAAAGCTGGTGGTAGGGAGCCTAGCTGTTATTGTTTTAAAGCTGTGTACCAAAGTTTATTAATTTATCTCCAAAAGTTTATAAAAAAAACACCAAAAGATCAGTCAAATGGCCTATCTTGAATGAGCTAATGTCCTCCAGGTAAAATTCCTGGTGGACCTGCTTCTCATCTCTAGTAAGTCTACTCCGTCTCTTAGCTATTCTGGCATCATATAATGTATCTTTGGCTTGCTGTTGAGTATTTTTATGCAGCGTATATCCTTATCTAGAAAACAATCCTTATTTAGAAAATAGTCTATAGGAAACTGTCCAACAATGAGCTCCCTTGCCTCCACAATATCCAAGGATGTCCTATCACAATCACTGAATACTCACTGCTAATGAAAAAGCTGTAGTTACAACCAGTAGTTGTAGCCACTTCAGTCACTGAAAATACAATCTTACTAATACTTCCTAACTTCCTAATCTGAGGTTATGATGACAACTTGCACACACTAATTGTGATAAAAAATTCTGACATAACATGTCCATATGATATAAATAATAAAAATTATGTAGTCACTGGGAACAAGTTTAGATAAATCGTTCCTTTCTCTCTCTCAATGTCACTGCTAAAGTCATCAGAACACTTTTGTTTATCCTCTAGATCTTCATTCATAATGTTGTCCATAAACAGAAGAAGTGGGCGTGGCACTTACACATTTTGAAATTACCAAACCTTATTTTCTTTATTAGAAAGTGGACAAATGTCAGTGTCGCTGCTTGAAACTAAAACTCGAGGGCCTGACTGTAAATCTACCAGTCAAAGTCGCTTTATTCTGTTCAAAGTGGCTTTGAAGCAGAAGTAAACTGATGTCTACCTCTCTGGGACTTTACATCTCTGTTTTGGAAATGGAGGCGTAATTATAAACTAAATATTGATCAAATATCAGAAAATATATAGCTAAACAAATAAACATCTCACTGTAAACACAATGCAAAATAGCGGAAGTCAATTAGCGGAGTAATCGTTATTTATAATAAGACCATAGAAACAGGGAGTGGTGCATTGTTTTGGATTGAAAAGTACAAGGATTTTCTGTCAAACGGTGACGTTGAGCAACCCACATATACCCATTTATAATCAAAATATCTCAGATTATGTTGGTCAGATTTTGAAAATTTTTAACTGCATATGACAATAGACATGTTCATTTACAAGGTTATTAACATAGAATACGTAAAAGCAAAAATATGATATTTTTTAATATTTCAAGCCAGACTGCTCCCTAGTTTCTTGGGGGCAGTATATATAAGAGCATTACCACCTTAGTTAGATAAAAAGCCCACGACCTATCACGATTATTGACGAAGAGACTAAGGCCGATCATCTAACTCCTTGCTTCAGGGTAAGAAAATTCAGAAAACTATTTATTTTTTTTCTGGGGTCATTTTCCTTGATTAGTTTTATATTTCGAGCCATAAATTCCGATAAGTTCTGTTTTCTTTCCCTAAACTGTTTTGGTTTTTATGTGTCCATATAATTTCGATGTTTGTGTAAAATTCCTTTCGGGTGGACATTTATACGGCTTAACGTAAAATTGATTCTGGATTACATACGAAGACAGCAAGTGAAATGGTTTGCCCACTTAGAGAGAATGCCTTGTGAAACCATACCATACAAAGCATACATGGAAAGAGAAGAAGGAGGTAGAGCACGGGGTAGACCAAGATGACGATGGAAGGATAACATCAGAAAAAATCTACAACAGTACGATGTGCCTATGGTCGAGGCGGCCAGAAGAGCTAGAAACAGAACCTTATATCTCCCTCGACACCCACAGCGGTAAAAAAGGAAGTGAAGAAGAAGAAAACGTAAAATTGTAATCATGTTTGATAAAACTATATCTATGAGGCGCCATGAATGTTTTTTCCTAGCAGTCATAACAGTCTGATAAAACTGGTTCACGTAACAAGCAGCAATATATTTTGTTAAACGAAAACGATATATGCATACGTTCATCATGAAATCAATTGTAATTAGAGCCAGTGGAGGTCAGGCAGTAACGGCAGGTTTCTGATGGCTTGAGAGCAGCACAGCTCAACATGGTGTGATTGTAACAGACTCAATGAGCATGTTTGGAGAACTGGTGTCCTGCGCGGAGAGTGGCTTGTATCACTTTATAAGATTCAAATCAATAATAAATGAATTGTGTGTGTGTATGTGTGTGTGTGTGTCCTTGCAATTTAGGTTTGCGAGCTAACCAGCAGACTGTAGATTAACTGCTGCTGCCCCTCTGGGCGGTAAGCTATGATATTATAAAGCGGATGTGGCGAAGGCCCTATGGAATAAGATAGACAGTGCAAAAAACCTGGTGTATTATCTGGATTGTTCAAAATGAATGTAGTTATTGCAGACGAGACGGTGAGATGCCGACGCTTTACTTGACTACTGTGTTATTTGGCTGATTATATTTCTCAGCGTGGGTCAGTGCCAATGGCTGAAATATGTATATATATATATGATATATATTCTTGCAAGTCTTTTGATAGTAGTACTGTTGATCTGCTTCCCTGCAAGTCTGTCTGATTTATACAGTGATAATTGCTGCTATAGTCCATCTGTAAACACAGGAGTGGGCACACTTCCGAAGGCGTTATTATAGGCTACTGGTGACACTAGGAGTGGGCCCCTGAACCTAATGCGTTATGGATGTTTTGGACTCCCCCGCGAGTTGGGGCTAGATATCCCACTTTGAGGTAATTCCGCCTTGGAAGTTTGCCAGTGTGTACTTGGGAGGCAGTAGTAGAGGGAAGTATTTCAGCAATCATCAGTCCATCTCCGTTGCAATGTGTTTATCCTTAATAAAGCGACTGATCGCACTACAAGAACATACTTGACGTGGTGTAGTATATTACAGTAGTCAAAGACAATGTTGGTGGTTACGATATGACATGTTAGCTTGTTACGTGTGCCGGGCCTATAGTGGTCCTCTCGTAGTTGGCATCTCCTTGCTCTCCTGTAAGAACCCAATAGTCGTTGCATTGTCTTAGGGAGATCTTGTATGTGACAGGAGCAAGTCATACACCCTGGACACTTGGTGGGGTGCGTTACCTCCTAAGAACGCATCTAACAATGTAACTACTCATCTCATAATGAGAGCCAAGCCAACTCTAACATATAACAAATGGAGCTAGCCCTCCCTACGTTGGATAGAAAACGTCAGTTTTCTTTTTCCTTTCTAAGATTGTTTGTCATCTACTTGTAGATAGTTGGCACCGTGGAAGCTTTGGCTAATCAAACATTTTGCATTGGGAGCTGAACCAAGCCGCTCTATATTAAAGAGTACTTCATGTAACTTGTAGCTGTGGTTTTAACTTTAAACTCTCGTGCTCTGGTGTCTGTGTATGTTTACGACACAGCTAGCTGTACCCCGCCACGCGTTGCTTAGTTTGGCTAAATGGAAAGGAAAGAAAATAGAAATCGCACATGCCTAACATGGTTAATGTCGCAATCT